ATCTTGTTCAGGTCTGTCATTATAAATATAAGATCTTATTCAAGTTTGTCATTGTGAACATAAGATCTTGTTCAATTCTATTATTATGAATATAAGTTTTGAACAAGATGAAATGACAAGTAGATTGACATGAGAATCAAGAACCTCTTATTCACTAGGAAGAATCGGCTCTAGAAATTCATCGTCAATCATGAATCAATATATCAATAGAAGTTAACGATCACCAACCATGAATCAATATATCAATAGAAATCAATGATTAAAAGGGTGTCATGAATTCTTAAATCCCAAAGATAGGTGGCTGTTTATTGGGTTTTTTATGATAAGGTAGATGTTTCTTAATTTATTTATTTAAAAAAAAAAAGTAGTTTATGAATGTAAGATTATATATATTTTAGAGTTAAAGATGTCAATTTTTTAAATGCTCAAATTTATATATGAGTTAATAGAATCTATATCTATACTATGGACATAATAATATTTGTTTTTATTCTTATTTTCATTAATCTCTTTCATTATTCCTATTATTATTTTTAAAATTACACATTTGTTTGATTTTGATTTATAAAATTCACTTTTCAAAAAATTTTATTTTTTTGTTTTCCGTATTTTTTTTATTTTTATTGAATTTTTTTAATATTTTAAGTATTTTTTTAATTTTTAAATACACTTAACATAAATATAGTTAAAGAGTACAATATTTGTAATTTTTTTAATAAATATAAAATAAAAATTGAAAAATTTGCTTAAATCAACCACACAAATAAGAAATCACTAAACGAATTTATTTATTTTTAAACTCATATATTAAATTTCTTGATTAATTTTTAGTTGTTATTTAAAATTTTAAAAAATTCTATTAAGTAATACTTTTTCAACAATAAAAATATGACTATTTAAAGATTTATGAAATTTAAATGGAAAGTATACTAACCTATTTTAAAATTCAAAAGTGGGTCATCTAGCCATTAAAAATAATAATAATAATTTTTTCTTAATTTCGGACTTTTAAAAAGAAAGAATACTAAATTAATTTTAAAAATTTAAAATTGTGTATCACAAATTATGAGAAGTAATATATTTTCTATAAATCTTTTCTCTTGCGTGCATCGGAGTCCAGTCAATTTCTAATCTTTAGTCTTCTGTATCTTTACTTTTATTATTCATTTAACAATTATATTAATTTTTAAAATTTATTGCATGTTTATTTAATTTAAGTGTATTTTTATAAAATAAATAATCAATCTCTTTGATCGTAGGTGTGACAGTGACAAAAGCAGTTAAATTGGCAAGTCAGCATTATCAGGATCCTGTCTTTTGTCCAGCTCTTTCTCTCTACTTATTTTTCGAAATATTTTAGCATATTCTATCCCAAAAAAAAAAAAAATGTTATATTCATTATTCTTTTGACTAAGTAGTGAGTTCTCATGCAAATCTAAAGCACCAACAACGGTGTACACATGGTGAGGTGTGTACACCAAAGAATTTTTCAACATGTAGCTACATACCAAACCATTCTTTGTAAGCACTTGACGACAAGAACTGTTGGGAGTAGTATTCATGTAATTGTGTCTGAGATTTCCACTTGGGAACAATACAGGAGCTTGCATGGAAATCTCAGGTATAATCACATGAATACTGCTCCCAACAGTTTTTGTCATCAAGTGCGTACAAAGAATGGATTGGTATGTAGCTGCATGTTGGACAATTCTTTGGTATACTCACCTCACAATGACTATGTACTCCATTACTGGTACTTTAGATTTGCATGGGAACTCGCTACATAGTCAAAAGAATAGCGAATGTATTACTTACAAGCAATACTACAAATCACAGCGTTGGTGGAAGGTTAAATAAAATAAAATGAAAAGTTACCAAAGATCATAATTACTGCTATTCTTAAATGAACCAAGCTCAAGCACCCTGAACTATATAACCAGATAAACAAAAAAATTATATTATCACTTGAATCATAAAAAGTTCAAAGATTAATAAAATAATAAATCTTATTATCTACGCACTCAAATATAGCATCAGCAAGAGTACGGTAGCTATCCTCCTCAATGAGTTTCCAATTATTATCTTACAACTTCAGAAGATTCTTGAGTATCAGTTTCATAGTTTCTGTAGGAATGCCCAATACCTTCATTGCACTGAAAGCCTTCAAAACTTTTGGATTAGGTGCCATCAATTATTCAAAAGGAATAATGCTATATGCACCAATTAGTGTACTAACTAGTATGCCAATTGACGATGTGACATAATTTAAGAAATTTTGGTATTTGTAATTTATGTAATGAGTATGGTTAATAATAATGTCATAATTAGTATTGGTACACTAGTTAGTACACTAATTGGTGCATGTAGCACCACCGATTCAAAAGTTACAAAATTTCAATTCAGTAATATTTCCTTTTCTACCTGTTTATATTCATCAGTCTTGAAAAAAAATGCTTAGTTAAGTGCTGAGCAATATAGTGGTAAATTCATCAATTCATGGCATGAACTCAATTGAGATTGAATGCAAAGGCAGAAATGTCATCCACTTGGTCAATAAATCAATTGATACTAAAAACACGACGGAGATGGTGGTTTTGGCAATTTACACAAGAAGAACTTACTTTGTCTTAGATGTTATTGATAATACATCTACTGAGAATCCTTTTGAAGGGAACTTTGATGCAATCCATTCTAGTTATTCCTCTCAAAATACTATTTTGTCATTTTAAATTATTTACTAAGTGGGAACAATACAAGAGTTTGCTTAGGAATTTACTTTGTCTTAGAAGTTGCTTGACCGTACTCCGAACCTGGTCCTTGGTTAACCCATAGGGTACCATCTAATCAATTGCAGCGTCCATTCTCGTCAAACCCGACTGCATTTAAAAATAAAATAATGTTCTTTCTTATTTAACATTGGTCAACATATAATTCCAAAACCTTCTAATCCAACTTCTTTCTTATTTTAATAATGTTCTTTTTTCCTTCACTAATGCGCCAATTACAGCTCTTAGCAAATGTGCTAAATTCAACTTAACAAAATGAAAAAAAAATACTACATGAGGGTTCAAAAATATTGTTATTATAGATCATCACGGTAAACTTTTTGTGGAAATAGGAGGAAATCAAATTTAATATTGGAGTGTTTAACGCATTCATTAATATTCCATTCATTATGACAACACGTCCTAGGGAAGATCCCAAATTAACACCTCTGGATCTAAACCTCTTCGCTGATTTTCTACATCAATTTAAAAATAAAATCACAAAATAGTAAATAAATCATTTAAAATAAATGATCACATGACAGCTAGGACAAAATCAGTTCATCTTCTAAGCTCAACAACATTATGTTCTTGTGTGCAGAGAAAACACATCTTCTGAGTCGGGAAGAAATTTCTATACTTTGTGTTCAATTAAATTAAGAGAGAGAAACCATATCTGAACAATTAACAACAATACACTTGCTTCTTTGTTTCGTAAGCATTCAAAATAATACAACTGAATTACCTCCCTTATAATAAGTATTATTTGCAAGAAAACAAGATGGTGCATGGAGAAATACCAAAATGGGAAGAAATGTTTACAATCGCAGCATATGACAGCAAGAACTTAGGGGATGAAATAAGTTTTAAGAAAAATTATAGCACCATTTTCACATTCAACCACATCAAAAGGCAACATTTATCAAAACAATTACCATACCTAAAAGGGTTGCTAGAATTTATCACTGAGCACGTACATAAGTTTCACTATGCCCGTAAAAAACGTAAATGTTTTGTTTGTTCATGGAACCCATTTACCATATATGAACTTATCCACCATTCACCACACATAATTGACAAATTTGCATGAAAAAATAAAAATAAATATGATTTAGTAGGAAATTATTAGACAATAGTGATCAAGGTATTATTGAATTAAACTCAGCTCGAGTGGAATCATCAAAACCTCGTGAAGTTATAAACCAACCTAATGGTAACTTGGTGGTAAGCTGCAAATAGTCTGAAATACAGTGGGGCACCCTTCGACAGGAGTCATCGGATAATGGCCAGACCACTTTATCAGTAAAAAGCTAACTTCCCATCAATTAAAATCAAACAAATAACAATCAATTGAACTAAGAATTACAACAAAGTAATGAACAAGACAGTGCAACTAACAAATAAAACATCAAAATCACACATGAGCATTTGAGTCTCACCCTGTAAAAGAGCCACAGAGAAAAACACTTCCTCTCCCATAAGGCCACACTAACCACGTCGGGACTAGCGCTGTGCCTGTAGCGGTTTCACCGGTTTCCTTTGCATAATCCATGCCCGAATAGAACATTCACTCCCAAAATAATTGGTAACCCTCCAAGCAACAAACAAATTTCCTATTAACCCTAAAAGGATAAATAAAAATCAAATAATTATTTTACTTTCACCGGTTTCCTTTGCATAATCCATGCCCAAATAGAACATTCACTTCCAAAATAATTGGTAACCCTCCAAGCAACAAACAAATTTCCTATTAACCCTAAAAGGATAAATAAAAATCAAATAATTATTTTACAACCCAGTACAACATTGAAACACATTCAATTCCCATAAATAAAAAATTAAAATAAACCCAGTACTTCAAAGTCGAATCTTCGAATTCTACCACCAAAAACCTCAACTTTCCAATGAACAATGCCTTACGGAGTACACGATTAAAGATGCAATTTTAATGAAGCAAATACACGCACGATTCAGAAAAAATAATAATTTTTGAAAAAAATTGGTCATGTTTGAATGTCTGCTAATTCAAATGTCTGCTAATTCACACTCAACAACATCCACACTTAACAACATCCACATCAGTAAATGTCTGCTAATTCAATAATGTGAAAGAAAGATAACATTTCTTTTGGTCAGATTTGAATAGAAAATAAATGAAGGACAGAAAAAAGAGAAAAGCAATGAAAAATCAAGATACAAAACTCAATTGAGCAACTAAACAAAATACAACTAGTACTACAAAAAAATTGTCTTCCAAATGTCTGAAAAAGCCTCAACAATGACCCCGTGATGATGACGCAAATTGAGCGAGAAGAAACACTCCAACAGCTGCTCGAAGTCTTTTGCCTCAAACAGTTGCTTCGCTAATATCATCTCCATCATCGATGCCTTGAAATCCTCATATGGGTCCATCGATTCCATCACCATCGCGAAGCTGTCCTTCACTTTCCCCTCCGTCGGAAATGATGGTAGCAGCTTCTTCATTCTCTTTTTGCGATTTAGTGAAAGTGTCACGATCTCTTCTTCTTCATCGTCTCTCTCATAGCCACACAAACCACTGTCGGCCGAGGAAGTGGTGATAGGGTGTCGTGTCAGCGTCGGAGGAGGAGAATGAGGAAGGAAGAGCTCGTTGTCGGAATTACCGGAGATGGAAGTGGTGATAGGGTGTCGTGTCGGCGGATGAGGAGGAAGAGGAGGGAAGAGTTCGTCATTGGAATCGTTGGAGATTGAGGAGTTGTAGTCGCGACGTGGCGTCTCATCCCACTTGCATGGCGGTGATTCGGGGAGGTCGTCTTCGTGTGTGCGGAACCCACAGCCGAAGATGGAGGAGACGTGGTGCTTGAAGGTGGAGTGGTGGGGTTTGAAAGGGAGCGGGGTGGCCAGCTGGCAGTCAATGAAGAGAGGGTTTGGGGAGAGTTGGATAGGATTTTCTGGGATGTTGGACGGATTTTCGGAGCGGCAGAATTTGAAGGATGATGTGACACGGGAGATGAAAGCCTTGAATGCCATTGAATTGTTTTCTTTCTCTTTCTCTATCTTTTTCTCTTTCTCTTTGTTTGTTGTATCTGTATGATTTCAGTATACAGATTAGCTATGTAATACAATATGCATATATAGATATAGGGGGAACGAAGGTGAATCAATGAAGATGAATCAATAAAGGAAAATGAACATTATTAAAGGAAAATAATTTTATAAGGCAATGAAGATGAATATTATTATTATTATTATTAAACGAAAATAATTTATAAGGTAATGAAGACCAATCAATAAAAGGAAAATATTATTATTAAAAGACAATAATATTATAAGGAATATTAATATTATTATGTATTTTTATTTTGAAAAAAAAGAGAGTTTGAATCGGGGTCAATCGTGCATTTTGGAATAGTGGAATGTAATTTGTAAAATAAATTGAAGATTTTTAATATTTTACCAATATATGTTCTTTAAAAAAAGTTTAACAATTGAGCCCCATTTCTGAGTTTGTTTTGGGCCTCAAAAAATTCAGGCCAACCCTACCATATGGGCCTGGATCATTCTGGTCCATGAGGCTGTGAGTCTACACACAAGAAGTCAAACTACATTTGGTTGTTTAGTAGAGAGAGTGAGGACCTAAACAAGACAACTAGTGGATGTTTGAAATATTAATCAACAATTAAATATCCTATTGAGGCACATTTAAGAGAATGTTATGAAATTCCTTAGAAAATTGACACAACACAACAATCATTCAATGGAAATGAGGTAATGGACTCAACCAAAACACCATATGGAAAACATTGCAAGAAGTTTTTAGGTACAAATCCACTTTAACAAAGAACTAGAAGAATAGATTGAATTGCACAACTCAGGAATTTAATCATTAGGGTTTTGAATCATTTGCATCAAATAAATTCTAAAAAAAACAAATTGAAAAAACTAATTAAAAAAAAATATCCTTGAAAATTCATTGGAATAGTGCCTGTTCTAATAAAAAACGAAAGCAGATGCTCTAATAAACCTAGTTTGTAAACCCTTCAATATGTCTTCAGAGAAATAGTTGGAATCGAATTTTATTTGAATCATAATTTTCAGCTTCTTTTTAGGTCGTTTCACTACAGCATCTGCAGTGTCCTTTGATGACTGCAACAAAAAAACATTAAAGACTAAGCAAAGGTTACAATTTTGATTTGACTAGGATGAAACGGTCAATGGCAACAAACCTTTTATTTTTTGTTTTTTTCCTTATCCTTCTTTTTCTTCTTCTTCTTCTTCTTGTGTTCCTTTGACTCAATTTTTTCACCTCCATCTTCCAAAGAATCCTGTCATATTTGCAACCAATTAGGAAGAAAAATAGGTCATAGAAACACACCGGTGTATTGAAACTTTTCCAAAAATGATTATAGGAACACAAAAATAAACCACCTCAAAGTCGCCAAAAGAGTCTACTCGTTGAACTATTCTTCCTAAATGTGAAGCCCCACCTGTTATAGAAAGAACATTGGATTTTATTGCTTAATGCAATATGAGAAATACTATAGGGATATATGCAACATCCTAGATATCATTAATACAAGTAGATCATTCACATACAAGCAGGAAAGGCAGCCATCATCATAACGTAATAGATGAAGTATAAAACAAGTGAAATTATGAGAATACATCCGAGTAATATATACTATAACAAGGATTTTGTCCAGAATTGATCAAATTGAATACTCATTATTTCCACACACAATGTATAGAAAGAACCAGTTTCCACACTGCCAAACCTCTATACAAACACCAAATGATAAGAAGGGAAGAGATCAAGCACCCCACCAACAAATACAACCACATCCTAGTAGATTGATAGTTTAGGAGTGAACACTGGCCCGGTAAGCCCACCTAAAACCAATTAGGTATAGTACCAATTGTAAATACAAATGAATGTGAGTACAATACTACCTTGTCAAATAGGGATAAAAACACTAAACTTTTGTAAGTTATTATCAAGACAAAACAAACCAAAATTTGCAAAAAAAAAATCCGTTAATGCTTACTAAGTTACTATAGTTAGCTGTTAGAATTCCAACTCCAACAAGAAATTAGGTTACAGATATCTTCTTTTAACTATTCTGTATATATTCATCTGAATTCTGAAAATACCAGCTACTTGAATATGAATAAGAATAAAAAAGAAACAAAATTCAAAATCAATAAGATTTAGTAAATCACTATTATACCAAGTCTGAACCATATAATCCAATAGGAAAGACTCTTCGAAGAAAAATTAGGTCATGAGTTGGGTCATGTATATAAGGCTTATAAGTCATGAATTTGACCTGCATTGCACATAAGGAAAAAAAAGGGTATCCACAAACTTGACTAGGTTTAATCAGGTCCATAGCATAGTTTGAGAATAAAGGAATTTAACACCATTGGGAAAAAAACTACGAGATGTAATCGGTAATTACTTGCATTTACAGTATCCTTCGCATTTTTGACAGCCAATTCAACAAGTTCGGGCTTTATAGAAGCCAATCCATTAGGCTCCTAGAGTTTTCTTTCAAGGAACTTTGCCAAAGCCGCAGCCTTGTTTGTTGTTAATGGCCCACCGGGCTGAGATAACCTACAAAAAAAGCATCACATTGTGAACAAAAGGCTTAAATTTTAGATAATTTTTTATTATAAAATAATACAAGTTATAGATTAATGGAGAATTCAGTAGGGAATTTCTTCTTATTTAGGTTATTGAGTTGGGTACTTGGAAATTTGAGGAGAAGATGAAAAAATAAGAATTGGGTTGTGCCATATTAATCAAATAAATATTATGCGAAAACATACAATAATCGACATGATACTCGAACAATATACTTGATCTATTCCATTCCATCTAATTGGGGGCAAAGTTTGAATTTTCAGTTCAACACTGTTTCTCGTGAAATTCACCTAAGATACAATAATAGTCTCATAATTCAAGGTAGAGAGTTCTAAGTTTTGGCATGAATTAGTGAAAGGGATCAAAGAATGAATTCAGATTAGTCTGAGAGGTTGCAAATGAGAAAGTAATTGAGTAGAGTACTTGGAAATTTGAGGAGGGGATGAAAAAAATAAAAATTGGGTTGTACCATATTAATAAAATACAATGCAAAAACATACAATAACCCATATGATAATTTTTGAGAGAGTTTTTTAGTATGTCTGCATGTTCTTTAAATTTTCATCTAGTCATGCTGCAAGATAATCTTGTCATATGTCTATTACTTTCATATACTCTTGTGGCAATATTAGTTGTTTTGCAGACTATGGCACTAATAGCTGTTTTTCAGATGATAGCACTAATAGCATCTTGATTGGCTGTTATAGGTTAAGGTGATTAGGATTTTATTTGTGAGGTGTGTTTTGTCACGGAATTATCAAAGGGAGAGATTGTTAGGTTTTTGTAATTGGCAATTCCGTTTGACAAAACTCTTTTCAATTATAATTTTATTCGCTCTTATATTTCAATGTGGATGTGAGTGTTTAGTTGCGAATCCAATCTGAATTGTGCCTATGCAGAGTAGCTTGTGATCTTGATCCTTTCATTTTTGCCACTTCGCTGAAGCAAAAAGAAAAAATACAGTTGAAGTTGTTTAATCGCTTGAGCAGTCATTTGTGCACTCCAACAAAGAAAAGAATCCCCCAGTACTTTTACAGAGCCCTTGAGTTTCTGGGAAGAAAGTTTGACTGCTCGAGTGGTGAATGTTGCGCTCGAACGGTCAACCTATATGTTTTGCACCGCTTTTACTCACACTACCTGAGTGGTGAATTGTGCGCTCGAGCGACCTTCGTGATCTAATTTTCTATAAAGTGCGCAATTTGTTGTTTTTAGGGTTTGAGCCATCTAGATTTTCAAAGAGGAAGAAAAAACAAAGTGTTTTATATTGGAGGGTGCTTTAAGAGTGCTTTCTTGATGATTTAAGACTGATCAATGGATCTCTAGAGTTTGTGTGTTTTCTTTAATTCACAAAAGAGAGAGTTGTTCTTCGATAGATTTCGGAGAATTTGGGCCTAAAATTTTGGTAGATTTCAGAGTGGCTCGTTGTCGTGAATTCGACATCCACGTTGTAGATTCAACGTTGAGCAAGACAATTCCGAGGTGAAAACTGTGATAACCTTGTTCCGTACTATGCTAATTGGTCCTTATTATGAATATGATTATGTGTTTGATATGTTTATGTGTGTCATTTATGTGAAAATATGTGGTTTTGAATTTCTATCTGTTCACCGTAGGAATATCTGTTTGATTATCTGCTTTGGAATTTAAATTGAAGGCCTTATCGGCCATAGAAACCAAAATTGATTGCGCCATTGTGTTTGGTTTAATTTTTAGAGCCTATGGTGAAATTTAATTAAAAATTGATTCGGATCAGATTAGTTAGATTAAATTAATGCTATAGTGCCCAATTATTTAATATTGGCAATTATAATTGAGGGAAATTATATAAGTGGGGCACTATACACGTAATTCTCCTTTTTAGCTTCATTTTGGCTGATTTTGAACTCAAGAAAAGAGAGAGGGCCGGCTAGAGAGAGAGAGAGAGAGGGAAACAATTAAAGATTTGCTTAAGAAGCTTGAATAAATTAAAGACTAACTCAAGATTTGACCATAAATTGGGGAGATTGAGCTTCTAGGTAAGCAATTGATTATGAAGTTATGAGTTTAATGTTATAATTTGTGAATTCAAAGTTGAATGATGACAAATAATATGAATTGAGTTAGTTTTGTTGAATTTGAAGTCAATAGACACATGCATGCAGGAAATTGCTATAAATTTCCATGTTTGAGCATAAAGTGTGTAATCCATGTTGAATGTGAATGAAGTCTATGTATTTGATCATCTCTTCACCAATTAAGTTGAGAATAATGAGTATCTCCTACATGTAAGTGCAAATCATGAAAGTGTGAGCTTTGAATGTTTGAATTTAGTGTGTTGGTGATGAGTTTGAGTCAATTTGGAACATGCATGTAAGTAATTCTTGGAATTGAGCTTCATAATGTTGTA